GTTTGGACGACAAAAAGGCAAAATCTTACTTCTCTGTCTTTTAATAGCTGATGTGAGGAGATTTAAGATGAACAGACTGAAATTAATACAGATGCTTGTACATGATTACAAAAGCAGACCAATAGGAAAAATCTTGGCTTTTTCTATATTGTTATTTTTTTTAAGCTACAACAGGAGTTTAGTTTGGTGCTCTTTGTCGCCCACCGAAGGGCTCTAGGTGCAACTGCACTGTCGTAAAACACACATAGTGCTGTTAGGCCCTCCCTTCTTGACAACATGTGTTTGTTGACAAACAGATTGTGGCCAATGAAACCAAGTTGACTTGAAGGTGCAGTACCAGATTATGCGCTAATATGAATCTGCAAGAGTATTCAGCTCGTTGTTTACTACTGTTAGCATGTGGAGTATGTGTATGTGTATTAAGCTGTTAGCATGAGGTCTATGGGCTCTCGCTACATGTCAACATTGACGAGGTCACTTATGATATGCTAGTTGAGATAGGTTTGAAAGGTTCCAAACTTGTAAAACCTGACTTAAAGATCGACGAGGAAAGACTGTATGACTTTCTGCACCCGGTAAGGCTGCTAACCATGAGACAACAACGACCCCCATAACGATACTACCTAAGGCCCCGTGTCCAACTTGCATTTTTTACTGAGAGCCATCGTCTTTTAACATTTTTTTTTTTAATGAGTAGAGAGCGTTCACAGCGGAAAACGGCCGTCTGGAGAAAAAGCAGAACACCCAGCGTCTTTTCTTCCGAGCGCTCAGCCTTTTTGTGCTACCACTCCGTGCGCTCGAGTTGAAAATCCTTTAACTTTTCATAAAGGCGCTGTTGATGTCACCGGCGCTCTTTTCCAAATGTATGATATTCCCGTCATTTTGCCGCCAACATATCCTGTCTTGTACCCACATCTTCTTTGCTCCGTGTCTGATCGGGTAAAAAACGTTCTCAATTATAAAACATGCAGTAAAAAGAAACAGAGCAGTGTCAGTCACACTGCGGCCGTTGTCAACAGACTGTTGTCATAGAGACAGGATGGACGTGCAGCGCTTTTCTTCAGCGTACAAATGCTTCATGCAAACACTCCAGAGCGTACAGCCAGCGCCTTTCTGTAAAGAAGATGCTAGGTGGACACGGGGCCTGATGTTCCATTGCAATTTGTTCTTAATAATACCTGAAGGGATGTATACTCTGTTGTTGGATTGTTGCTTTCTATTATCCAGGTTTGTGTTGGTTAGAAATCTGTGAGTCTGAATACATTTATCATCAAACCTGTTTCTCTCTGCAGTTTGTTTCAGGCCCAAGCTGGCCGACAACATTGACATGGAAGGGCTCCAGAGGTATTTTAGCCCCGGTTCGGAGTTAGCGCTGTTCTGTAAACAGGGATTCACCCCCATCTTAGGACCTCGGAGGATTGTCTGTGGCACCAGTGGAGATTGGACAAAAACCAAATTCAAGTGCATACGTAGGTCTCCAGATCATCTTGAGCTTCTTCAATTAAAAATGGAATTCTAACATCAGTATAAGTTTGTAATTTGAAATGCATTCATTTTAGCCTTTTTCACACATGCACTCCTGAAAATTTCTATAAAATTCCAGGACAGCCTGGCAATGAATTTTCCAGAGTTGCCCTTTCACAAATGCCCTTCATGTCCTCAACACTTGTAGAAATGTTACTAGAGGGCTGGGTGAAAGAAGTCAAAATAAAGTCGGGGTTAAAACACTTTGTGTTCACACATGCAGCTCACCTCAAAGCGTTAAGGAAGTTTTGTACAAGTGTGAAAAGGAGTTGGGGCTATGACTGATATCACAAGCTGTTTTCACACATGCACCTCTGAAAAATTTGAGAGAATTTCAGGAATACTGCACCTAAAATCCTCCTGATCTGGTTGTTCACACTGACATGCACCTCACAGTGGAAGATTATCCCTTTCAGACACAAAGGTATGCAAAAACTAGAATAGGGAAGTGGTGGATAAAACAACAGAGTCCGCTCTACGGTCCTGTAATGGGATTATTTGCTGTTATATCAAAGCAATATGTAGTTCACCGTAATCACAGTCTCATCAGAAGAGCAGAGAAGAACATCATGGAGAACAGAAAACAAAATGCAGTAGTTTAATTACATGCATGGAGAGCTTAGTGGGTGTGTGCAGACACTCTGTGGTCGTTCACCAATTGCAGGAAATAAACATCAGCACCCCCTCTCCATCTCACTCAAGCTAAATTCTCCTGATTAAATCCTGCTGCATTCTCACATCCGCTCACTCAGACTTTCTTTGGAAAAAATACTAGGGGCGCCTGACTCCAGATGAAACCTCAGTGAGAAATTTGGCTGTTTGCCTTTATATATGCAGCTCATCTCAAATACCTCAAGAGATTTGTGTCAGTGTAAAAACAGCTTCTGAAATATATTCCAATTTTGCTACAACTAAAGACATAGTTTTGATGTTCTAAGAAAAACACAAGGCTTAAAAGGATTTAGGGAGAAGTATTTATCTTGAATTTTCCAACACTGATTACATGATTGTATCATATATATGATTAAGTCCTACAGCTGGAGTGAAAATAAGTCATCCTTTGTTTGTGTTGTTCTTTAGGAATAACTGGTTGAAACTGTTTTTCTCTCCTTCCAGCAAAACGATGTCCGTACCCTGATGAGTTGTCTGATGGAGAAATGTACTATGAGGATACTGTGTACCAGAGCACTATCAACTATACTTGTAATGAAGGGTAAAGCGACCACTTCTTGTTGAATTTCAATGTGTTTTCAGTGTCTGTTGCTCTTTTAGACATCCCCAAAATCATGGAAAAATTATCATCAGGGAAATGATTCCATCAATAGAAGAAAAAATTAGGGCTGGTTTAGTTAACTGTGAACAATCAGCACATTCTCAGTGCCGGCTTCTTTAAAAACATTTCTAAATACGTAAAATGATTATGTTTTGATGACCTTTTATTAGATTTACTGTTGGGTTTTTATGCCTTTATTTGAGAGATAAGACAGTGGATAGAGTCAGAAACCGAGAAGAAAGAGAGTGGGGAGTGACATGAGGAAGGAGCCACAGGATCTGACCTGAACCGGCATGGAGGCCCAAGCCACCTGCGCACCCCAAACGCCAGGCTACTGTACCACTTGGGTCTCCCCCACCCAACAATGCACTTTAAAATAATCTCAAATCCTTTAATTTACAAAACAGGAAGGGGCCTGAAAGTGGCTAAGTCAGTGGTACTTGTGTGTATGCATGAGTGAAACGGTAGTGAGTGAGGTAGTGTGTAGAAAAAGTAAAGACAAAAAAAAGAACGAGGCGCATAGCCCATATAGGGACCAGTGTGGCCGTGTCTTTCTGTATGCCTCGCTATGTATACGGCATCCTTATAGGACCCAACTTATGAAGGACCCAGCCTGGAAGCCTGAACAAGACCTCAACAAACCATGACACAAAATAACTAAAACTCACTGTGTGTCAGACCTGCAAAGAAACCAAACCTCCAGGATAAATGCACTCGATGCACTCGATTGTGCACTCTAGACACTTTTGAGATTCTGTCCATGCCTTTTATAAAAGTATATGCAGGGTATTGACTGATTTTCTAAGGCTGCTCTGCACAGGTACACTTTAACTGGAGCTAGCTCTGCTGAGTGCCTCGCCAATGGACATGGAGCACACCAGTACCACAATGCACATGTATGTATTAACATATATAATAATATATAAAAAATAGAGCATTCATAAAGTTGATTTTTCTGTTTATTCTCTCACAGCTGTTACCTGCGGTCTGCCTCCGATCCCACTGAACGGGATGATCATTTATGATAAGAGGATCCAAGGGAACTCCACTGAATACGGTCTGACAGGGACGTACAGGTGTCGACCTCCATTCGTAGTTTTTGGTAAGGCAAGAGCCGAGTGCACCGCGAGTGGCAACTGGACCAAGACACCTGAATGCAGAGGTATGAACATCTGACAATTAGGAATCTGTTATGATGGCAAGAAACACTGTTGACGCCTTTAGCCTACTGATCACAAAGATACAGAGGCCTGGAGGGAAAAACATTAAGTTCTGGCTATCCTTGGAGAAACTTTTGCAGGATCCTTGATTCACTTAAAAAGTTTCCAAATCATTTTTGCAAGATCTGAAAAAACTCTTACAAAGTCCCGGAAAAACTTCACAAGTTCACAAAAAACTTTTGGATTATTCTGAAAAACTTTTGTGATATCCTTAAGAAAATGTGTAAGATTTTGCAAGATCCTGAAAAATTTCAAAGAACCTGAGAAACTTTGTGTGATCCCGGAAAGCTTTTAGAAGGTCCCAAGAAACTCTTACAATATTTGGTAAAGACTTTTGCAAGATCCCGTGAAAGCATGTATGTCAGAATTTTCAATTAATATCGACTGCTAACATGAAGTCCAGTTAAATGTTTTACATTTTTCTATTTCCAGTGGTGACCTGCCCGCAACCAGAGAACATAGACAGAGGATACATGTCAGTCAACGAGGAGAGGGACTATGACTACATGGAAAAGGTCAAATTTGGTTGCCACAGTGACTACGTTCTCGAGGGAAGTCATGAGATTGTTTGTCAGCAGAATGGCAATTGGTCTGAAAAGCCATCATGCAAAGGTAGAACAACTAAATGACAGTCAGTTTATACATTTATTTTCGATGGTTACCCCGGGGCATGAAGGTCTCAGATATGAAATACACAGCTGTTTTTTTTTTTGCATTTAGAAGAGAGCAAGATGTCTCGTGTGTTTCCCAGTTTGGATTTACTGACGACATGCTGCTTACCACTCTGAGCTTTCAGTGTAGGGACATAAAAACAGAATATCTCACATTTCCCGTCTGTTTCTTCTTCTTCTTGTGACTTCCAGTGCCCTGCAGTTTGGGCATACAGAGAACAAGGATACTTTACAGAGGACAGAAAATGTGGATCAAAGACCTGAATCCCAAGAGAGTCATGCACAGAGAAATTATCTCGGTCTTCTGCATGGACAAGACCAGGAAGTGCGGTTACGCAGTGTCCACTCAGTGTATCGATGGAAAACTTAAAATCCCAGACTGCTTTGAAGGTAAAATGAACCTAAAACCACATTGCATCAGCTTTTTGTAGATATAAGTAGAGGGACCCCAAAGAAACATGTTGGAAACCACTGGATAATGGTAACTTTAACCTGATGTAGAGCCACTTAGCTCGGTGACTTACTATCCAATACTTTTCCAGAGTTTTCCAGATTGTTTATTGCTGATACTCTAACTGATTCATTACATCACACATCAGTGGGGAATCATGCGGGGCATTGTTAAACATAAGCTTAAAGATTTGTCTATTAAAATACAAGTAAACGTATTAAGTACACTTTGGTCATCATTTCCTTTGTTGATCTGAGGTCTCTGGACATGGGAGTGACTTGTTGACGCTTTCGGGCTACTCTGTGATTAATGCATCATGAAATTATGAAATCTCACTCTAGATTTATATCATATTTAGTATAAAAGTTCTAACCCGTTTTGTGCATATGTATTTCTTTGATTCCAGAGCCCAGCAGTATCGATTACAACTTACACTCAAGTTCACTTCCATCAGAAGTCCAGCAGTGCTGAAACTGCAGAAGATCCCGTCTCTGATGATCATCAAAATACTACAAAATTAAAAGATCCCTTCTCTGATGATCATCAAAATACTACAAAATTAAAAGATCCCGTCTCTGATGATCACTAAGATACTGCAAAATGAAAAGATCCCATCTCTTAAGATCATTAAAATACTGCAAGATGCAGCCCAGTCATGTTTCCTGGTGGTGTATTCTTTTAAGTAATGTTTCCATATAACGAAGAGGTAGCTATAGTGTTCAGTGTGTGCAACAATTTTCTGATCACTGTCCCTCATAGCAGCTTCTCGATTCTGACTAAAGTGGAGTGTGTTATTCTTTTGCATAAAATTGCATCCAAAACTGCAAGATTGTCCAAGTTTCTGCGACCCCACCAGCTTTCTCTGGCGACCCCCCAGGGGTCTGGATCCCCACTCTGAACAACGCTGTTATAGAGGATAAGGCTTGTGGCAGCAAGCGCGGACTCTGTTGTTTTCTGTATCAGTTTCCCAACTCGCGCGTTGTCTCGCGAGATCCGACGAGACCAGCTTTCTTCTCGTCCAGCATGGCCGCGCTGTATGAGGGATACACGTTGTGCGGACTCGTTCCAGCTCAAAATCAGTCAAATTCAGGCATTCAGGAGGTCGAGGAGGAGAGAGACTGCGACCATGTCTTGGTCACCGACTCAACCCGATCCGTCACGTTGTATAAGGTAACATTTAACCGTGTGTTTAAAGGTGGGCCAGCTGACCTGCGAGACTCGTGTTGGCATCCTCCGGTTATCGTCGCATTAGTGACAGAAACCAGCAGAACAGACTCACAGTTACAGCAGGCTGGGATACATGAATATGTTTATATTTTATTAGTGAAAAGAGCTGCTACTCCTCCGCATTGAAAGGAGTCAGTAGAGGTGGTTCAGGCATCTGATTAGGATGCCTCCCAGAGGTTTTTCAGGGTAGGAGACCAGGAGGTAGTTAATAGGAGGGGGGAGACATTTCTTTGGAGAGGGTAGTCTGTGTTGACTTCCTGCTTATGTGCTGCGAAAGAAAATGGATTGACGATTTTTTATAAAGAAATATAACTGAAGTCGATTCATGAAAGAAGAAATATGATTCTTCATTTCAATTATCTGACCAAAAAGTAAATAGTAAAGTATTTCCTTACTTTTTAAATGTTGTAAAGTTACTTATGAGACTATGCCTTATGTCTGACAAAAAGACCTTTTGCAGTATTTTTAAATGCATCACGATGTATCATGACGTCCCTCTCCATTAATGTTACTTAATGTGTCTTCCTGTTGTTGCAGGTTTCAGACCAAAAGCCGCTGAGCAGCTGGACAGTGAAACAGGGACAGACTCTGACGTGTCCGGCAGTCTACAACTCACAGACAAAGGAGTATGTGGCGGTCTCAGACAACAAGGTGAGCTTCCTGTCATCGTTGTAATGCCACCGATTCTTTAAGAGGCAGAGTATATAGAATAAATGTGGGCAAAAACGCATCAATGATCTGCTTTGTCGTTGTTTATGTCTCCTTAGATCTGACCTTTCAGAAACCTGTGCATGACTCTGTTCCAACATTAAACCTGTCGGCGTTTTTTTTTGTTTTGAAGGTGATCAGAATTTGGAAGGAAGAAGACATACTCCTAGAAAAGACCTTCAAAGCAACCGTAAGTGTCAACATGGCCGTCAAGTGGTTCAGAGGATGTCTCGTCTGATCGTGTCTCACTGTAGAAATGTTTATTCATTGTCTGTGTGACACTTCAAGGCAAGGGAACAAGCCTGTTGTCATACAGACGGATCAGACAGAATTATTCTCTTGGGTATAATCACATACATTTCAGTCAGTCTTTAAAGTGTTTCTTTCAGAGTATGAAGCAGTTTGTATCAGATATACTGTATGTCAAGTACGTCTTCACTGCTTTGTCCCAGTTATTGTTATTGTTAATGTCGGTCCAGACCTCTGAAATCCTGATGAGCAGAATGAATCCTCTGGAGCTGTCATGTTTGATGTGGGTTTGCAAAGCCAGGAGCGTTACCTAAAACGAGACGCTGTAGATGTCCGTTGTTGTTCTTGTGCTCTGAGTTCTGTCACAAAATCAAAGATGTATTCAGTGATGTAAGGGTTTACATAATGACAAGGCCCTATTGCGACCCTTGCCTGTGGAAAAGCCTTAGACGGTTGGCCAGTTAACCAGCTCTGCACCGGCCCCTAGTTCACTTCAGTGGAAAAGGGGTATAAATGACCTCGAACCCATTTGATGGCTGTGAGCTCTTTGTTATTTTCATTTCCATAATCTAGTATCCTAATATTCATGAGAAGATCAACATCATCCTTGTGACTGCAGTAGTTACGAGAACTCTCCACACTGACATCCACAGAAAAAGTGCCTCCTTGGTGTTCCCCTTCCTGCCTCCTTTTCCTCATTCCTCCTTCTGCTCTTTTCTCACATGTTCTCTTCAGGTGTCATCGGATATCCGGAGGGTCCACAGTGTACCTGGAGAGGAGCCTGTGGTTTTGTTCCAAAGAGGAGCTGTGAGACTCCTGGACTCTCTCCTTTCTGCTCCCCAGCAGCCCATCGAGGAAGTCCTTTCTCAAGAAGAGGCAATTCGGTAAGTTTTGCCCCTTCCTTTGTGCTTTCCGGTGCTCCAAATGCAAAGTCCAGAGAAGAGAAGCCCTGTTCAGACTGCTGTTTCAAGGCGTGCTGTATACGCCCCTGTGATGTTTCATCCTTAATCTGAATATTCGATTCCCCCTCTCTGAGGTCGTAACAGAGGTGAGATGTTTTCAGAGGACAAACCAAAGCCTGCTGACTTGTAATTGGTCGATTCGGCTCGCGCTTCAAATGTACTACAAACAGAAACCAGAACACTTTTCATGCTGCCAATCCAGATTCTGCTTTTCAATGTAGAATCTGTAAATAGAGATTATATATTTTCTCTGATGAGTTTTAGTCAATCAAAGTGTTTTTGTTTTTTTTTGTCGGGTATTGATTTTTGTTTTCTCCTCAGGTGGAGTACTCTCGTAGTGGTGGAGTCACAGCAGTTTGTCATCTTCACAACTGAACAGGTAACAAAAAGATTTATGGCAAAAGACACCAAACTCTCCCTTTGGTCAGATTATTACAAGTTTTAATATTCTCTGTATTTGGATGGAAAATGCCCGTCAGCCTAAGGACTGTTTTTTGGATCATTTTTCTCTCCATAGAAATGTGCACCAACTCTTTTTTATGATATTTTATAAGACCTCATTGTCTTAAAAAAAAAAAACTCTCATTGTCTTTCCACAGAAAGGAGAGAATTTCCTCTATCTGCAGAGGCTGAAACCAAACACCCTGCAGAGGTACCGATTGGAGAGAGAGGAGCCTGGCCTGTCCCCGCTCAGCTTCTCTGCATCCTACACCGACAAACACATCCGCCTGCTTTATCTCTGTAAGCCCGAGCTTCCTGCAAACATATTTTGAATGTCAGTAATTGACTGCACAGGATGGTTTTGAGGAATTAGAAATAAAAAAAAATGAGGCACATTTCAGTTTTGTAGTAGAGAGAAGTGGATGATCCTGTTGAAGTCTGTTTTACTATAGACATACCATGCCTGTAAACGACCACAAGGGGGCCTTTTCTATTCTGTTTCCTCAGTTTTCATTTTTAACTTTTGTTCTGTCATCCACTCCAGACCCTAACGGTCATGTGTACCAGAGTGTGGTCTCTGTGAGGGGTCTGGGTGCTGAAGAGGGGGCCCAGGCTCTCCCGCTGCCCCGCAGCCTGCTGCTCGTACTTCCTGTCGGTGAGGGTCTGCTGGAGGCAGCGTCGGCCCTGGTCCTGGATGAAGCCCATGTAGCCGTCGTAGGGGTTCCACACCCCTCAGCCGGAGCTGGAAAAGGTAAATACAATTTTATAACAGAGCCTCTAAAGACGACACTAAAGTTCTCTACTCAGACGTGAGTGTGTCCAGGTTTTCTGATGTGATCAGCCTCAAACCCATGATAGATCAAATCTTAATGTACAGTGAGTCACATGGGCCACCTTTTCAGGTCAGAAAATTCTGAACTCTAGAATTTCAAAAAATTATTAGCCCCATACACTTTGCGATTCTGCAACAGTGTTTTAACGATACCCCGCCGCCATTACACCTTTGTACTTAAACATAGCATCTGCGTCGCTGTCACTGAGTGGGAATACTCATTGTGAAACTGAGATGCAGAAGTGCCAGAGGACCAAGAGAGGCACAGTGTGTAAACACTCAGTGTGAGCTTCACATACACAAACTCGGGCATGCACACACACACAGCGCTGTTTCCCCTCGCTGGCGCTGATGTTATAAATGGCCAGTGTATTCCCCCCAATTACGCTTCTGATGCTGATCAGCAGTGGAACAAGTTTGCAGATCCATTCAGCCTCTATGGGTGTAACAGGGCGTAACTATCCGACATTAAACTGGTGATATGTAAACACAAGTGAAAGATTTAATTTAAACCCATTAGGATGCTCACTCATGTGACACCAGCATCTAATGTGTTTGTTCTTTCTTTTTCAGACTTTCTCTGCATCTGGAACACAAATTTCCAGACGCTTCAGGCAGGAAAAGAGATGGCGGGTAAAATCTATGGACAGGTAGGCCATCTCCTCTTTTTCTTTTTCTGACTGATGATTTATAGCCATGCTAGCAGCAGCGTCCTCGAGCTCATACAGGACTACCACCCGTTTGTGCTACTATGACCCCCCCATACCCCAAAATCCAGACTACGGGCCAAGGCTCCCTGTCCTCCCAGCTGCTGGGTGCTGATGGAGGACTGTAAGACTTTGGTAGATCATTGTGTCTGCTCTCCACTGTGACCGGGCCCCCTGTCCCTCCTCACAACTTCACTGCGGTTTACAATCTTAAAACAGACACACTTACAAACTAGCTGTGCTGTCTACATGATCACTGTTAACTACATTCGTTTCCTCTCTTTTTCTAATCTAGCTGTGGAGTTTTTCCAACAAGTTGTTCATTCCACACGGCAAAGCGCTCTCGGTTATTCCGTACGAGTGTCCCAAATCATGCCTGGCCTCTGCGCTGGGAAAACTACGGCAGGCCAAGAGTGACGGTGAGATGAAACAAACCTGCAGTAGCTACTAGTGTGAAGAGACTTTGTGCAAATGTGTTAGGGCCATATGTATGAACAATTTAACATAATAATGGATTAATAACGAT